CCCTTTAGTACGAGGGGGATCAGGCCATAGTCCACCACGCTGGCCAAGTGTGGGTTGTCGGACTTCACATGTCTTTCGAAAACTTGCTAGGTTCTCTCAGATATTCAGGCTTCCTCACTATCTTTTCCTACCTTCGTTAAGGCAAGTGGTAATCATGGTAGAAATTATTCGCACATGAAAATATCAGAGGTGCGAGACCCGAGATTTGAACCTGATCGGTATCCCAAGCGAGCGCGTTACCACTGGGCTACCACTGCCTTTATATCTATTATAGGTATTGTGTAATAAAAAATAATTAGAATTCCTGAAATATAGAAATATTCAATAAAATATTCATGTGCCTATATTCGTTACTACAAAGTCATAATAAAACGGTAGTAAACACGCAATTGCTATTTGCTACGTTCCTCAGCTAAATAATAATTATATGAAATGCTTTAATATATTTTTTATTAAAAAAAATATACTACTAACAACTCCAGTGTCTAGCATATTCCAGCGTATTTTATTTAATAGCGACTCCTCTTGTCCTTGGGCATAAAAAGCAATGTCAGTCAGACGTCACCACTACAGTAAACAAGCGAGCCTCCTTCATTTTATAAAAATAATTGTTCCATTGTTCCATATTTTCCAAAAAAAATATGTATAAAAGTTTATAGTTATAAAAAAAAAATAAGAAATTAAAGATATTATATCATTTGAATAAAAGCCATCCAGCCTTTTCAACAAAGTAAGACTTGACTCCACTCCACTCCTTTTTACGCTTAAACCGCTAGTCAGATTTCGATTATAATATTTGGATCATCATGATGACGAACATATACTACTTTTTAACCCCGCCCCGTTTATCATGTGAGTAGAACCGAAAGCAAACGTAGTCTGTACTAAAAACGTATTAATAAGATATCACTAGTGACTTTTTGCAATATACTAAGAGTATATACAAGGGAAACCACAACACGGATAAATATAACCTCATGACACTCTTCGACCTTATAATAATCTACAGTACACTCCGCCTTTTTCTTAATGATTAATAACAACCTGAAACTTCACAAGTGGCTTCGTTTTGACGTGATGCTCAACTTTTCTTTCTACGAAAATTTGATTGTGGTAGATATACATTTGTGGACTGATACGGAATATGTCAAAACAGTGATAGTCTAAAATTTATTGCTAACAGGTTGTTTTACGATTTAATCTTGGTATAATCCAACATTAAAATAAGAAAAAATGTTGTCCTATAAAACAGATGGATTGGGCCAAATCGTCCACCTCTCCAAACTTGTTAAAATAACAACGTCTAAAAATTTATTATTGAAAAAGCTTGTAAAATTATCATAATTGAATGGTCACAACATCCTATAAATAAAATGGTAGGATTTCTCAATCCTACGCTCGGATACTCACGATGTTTTCTTTCACCCTAAGAAAAGTGATAATCATGTTGGAAATGATTCGCACATGAAAATGTTTTGACATGTTCACAATTGTATCAACCACTATCAAATTTTCGTAGAAAGGTAGCGTCTCGTCAAAACGAAGCTATTCGTGTAGTTTGAGGTTGTTTTTAATCATTAGGAAAAAAGCAGCAACTTAGAAATTAAAACAAATAAACAAAAATACGTTCACACTTATAAATTCTGCTTACATTCATTTATTATATTGGAGATCTCCAGTAACTGTGATACTTACTTTTTTAATGTAATTCTTATAACAATACTTGATGCAGTTCATTTTTTCAAATTTAACATTTCTTTATAAGATTACATAGAGAACATGTTTCAAACTACTAACTGGAAATGCAATTTCTGTTTATGCGGTGTAAATTCCTGGGAACTAGCAGGGAATTTCCATTTTCTCCAACTCCGCGCAATGTGCCGCCACGCGTGAGATTACACAAAAATTGTCTCATAAAAATTCTTTAGCATTCACTTCAGATTTGCGTAGAGGCATACCTATCTGAATTATATTTCTAATAGTAATATTTCGCTCTAAAGTTTTATCATTACATTGTCCTTGTAAATTAGATAATTAATTCGTTTATTACGAATGGGGATACCACATGAAAAAAACGCACCTTTCACTCTAGATGATGGTGGCGTGGGAATGCGTAAAAAACAATAGTACAGATTTAGTAATTTGTATATATTGAAATCCTGAGAAAAAATGTTGCGATTTTGCGAATTATAAAAAATTGCTGAGCTTGACTTCTCTGTAACTCCTAGACTATGTATCTAATCAAAAAATGTTTGCCACTCAAGTTGCAGGAAATTTAATGCACAAGTAAAAACTGGTTTTTGGTTAAATTTTTCCAAGATGGCGGTGCGACTAACAGTCGCTTAAGGTCACAAATTCAAAATATTAATTAGTGCATCAAATTATAACACTGCCAAATTAGAACTCTCCTTGACCTTTTGTAACGAAAGCCCTATTTTGTCATCTCGAAATTACTCATTAAATAGTTTGAATTAATTTATTAACCCAATACTTATTACAAGATATAAAGTATGTAGTCTAGCTGCATTGGATTAAACTAAAACAGTAAAACCATGACTTCGTAAACAATTCAAACATTTGATGTTTATTGTAACGATTGTACTAAACCAAACCTATCACGTTCCAATACATAGTTTCTATTTGTACATACTGTGCAGTTTGCATACACATACAATGGAAATGGAATTGTAATAAGGTTTCGTTTATGCACAGGGGTTGATTCTGTATAGTTTGTGGTATTGTAATATTCTTAATAAAACACATATTTACATTGTTACTGTTGATTTGATAGTTCAAATAGCCATTCACACACTGGTATTATAACCATTTATTTTATCAGTTTTACATCTAATTCAATTTTAATGAATAATACATGAATATGGCAAGAAATATTTGTCATGTTACTGTAAGTTGAAATAAAAGAATAAAATTTTTGAAGTACTAAAAATCATAATTTTGTCGTTTCAGCCGAAATACGTCCACTGCTGGACACTGCTGGCTTCTCCGAAAGATTTTTATTGATAAAACAATATAAAGTTTGTATAAATTAACCAAGGTTGGCTTACGTGTTAGATCTAGTCAAGACGTTACATAATTATGGTTATTTGTATCTCTAATCTAATATTAAATTAGTATAATATTGCTTAGTCCGCTAAACAGCTAAGGTAGAATCTTTTCTATATGTATTCTTTACTCTGTGCATAATTTTAATTATAATTAAGTATTTACTCGTTATTTGTCCATGTGTAAAATTTACAAGCACGACATGTTCGCTTTTTGTTATGTGAACAATATGTCCTTCAAATAAAGATTTAAAAAAAACAATATAAAGTTAAAAAAAATCAGTAAAAATACGGCTTTAAATGTACTAGTACAGTCCCAATTACATAAACTCTCAATGATTCACATCGATGCTTTAATTATAAAAAAAAAGAATTATATTTCTGAGGTTCGCTTACATACTGTCGGTGACATGTAAATGAAACTAATAAAAGTGTACTAAAAATCTTACTTAAAATGCTTACATTGCAGACTTTACGCAGGAAGCGATATATACCTGCAATTGTCAGTTCCACGTTTATATTAAAAGTACAATGACTTCTTCGCCTTCTCAGATACTGTGGGTACTTTTAGAGAGTAGCATGATAAACTAAAATAAGCACATTCAAGTGCAATTTTATTATTATTTAACAAAAAAGCTATTTCAAATTTACTTAAAAATAACTACTCCACCCTTAGGGTGGTTTTTTTATTACATATAACTTATTCATATTTTGTTAATGAAAATTGACTCTTGCATTGCGCTTTCGCAGTGGGTATACTTATTGTATAGTATCTACATATTTATTTTTGTCCGTACATTCTTTAATGTTGCAATTATTATTAACGCTAGCATTTATAATATAATATATTATGTACATGTGTTCTTTTTAGATTTGAGATCTTTTCCCGATCAGTCGAATGATTTTTTGACGAACAATAAGTAGGTATACTTCTAAAATATAAATATTAAATAAGTAATTTTGAATTTCTCTTCATAGCAAAATTTAAAATGGTTAGAAACATAATAATAATAATAGAAGTTTTGACAATATATATTATAAATTCATAATATATAAGCCGGTTAAACGTTTTTCTTCATTCGTTCTTTTAAGCGAACAATTTATTCCCATATTTCAAACAATATGTAAGGCTTACTCTCTAATCCATGGTACAGGTGATGATAAATTGAAATTCCATGTCACGATAGTGTGAGCACCATATGTATCCACCAATAAAGATATATGTATAGTAATCCTTTGCTGGATACACAAAGGATTTTATATTGCTACGAGTAAGTGCTATGTACTTTGTTTACTTTCATAACTTATAGCGAATAAAAAAAGTTTCCATAGAAAGAAAAAAGGCACAATATAAAGTAATCTGAATCAAATACAAGATATTTTATAATATATAAAAGACGTTCAAATTGGTAGTGTTTTTAAATATTATGTATATGCTTTTTAAATAACTATGCGAATTTTGGATTTTAGATTAAAAAAACAAATATCAATGATTAATTTTAAAGAAAATTTATTTTCTAAATATAGAAGGCATTACAAATAATATTACCTAACCTTAATACAAACTTAAAGTTACTAAACATTCGAGGCTCTTATGAATATTCAATATACAATATGAAATCGAGAAACCATTCAAGCTCTTTTGTTTTCCTGTATTTATAATTCTAATATAAGTGCGTATTAGAAGAAACCTGTCCCTGGTGACTAGAATCAAACCTAGCCCAAGATTTAAACAGAATCTTAATTAGAAAAGTTAATTGGAGATATATTTTAATAAAGATACGTAAAACATAAATATCTTTACATTAAAAGAAAAAGCTCAAATTACAAGCATTATTTTAAACTGGACCACATCCAGTACTTAATAAATTATTTTTATTTACACATTTCAGGCTTTATGATGCTACAATATTTTACTCATAAACTAAATTTAATTTACCGATAAATTTTATCGTCGTGCGGTGGCAAGCTTATAAAGTATGGAGCTGGCGGGGGTGGTGCTAAATAACGCACTGAGCCAGGGCCAGACTGCACTTTATGTGGCAAGGTTGCGGTTGACAATGAGGGAGGAGGCAATGTGCCTGCATAGCCTGGCCACGCCGCACCCCACATTGGTGGTCCTCCCGCCCCAGGACTATTGGCTAGAGGGCCACCTCTATACGAAGTCGTCGTCATTCGTAAACGAACAATGCATATTGCTACAATAAGAATGGCAATAAAAGCGACAACTCCACCGACTATCCCAATTATTAAATTATCATCATTATTAGACGTTGCCACACCGAGAACTGGAGCTCCTTTTGGTTCTCCTGCAACTTTTGGCCGCTCATGCGATGGTGCAACCGACCAAATTATATCTGGCTCTGCAGACGTACGGTGTACTAGACGAGGTGGTGGAGTAGAGATACTAGATGACGACGTTGCTGTAGTTTTTCTTTTACTATCACAAGATAACTCATCATCTCCTATTTCGACAAGCAAATATCCTGAAAGATGATCAGGTGAACTACATCGAACATCTTCTATACCAACATTCGGTATCCATCGGCGTAAGGCTCTTGAGTTACAATCACATCGAATAGGATTAGTATCTAAACCAAACATTGATAAATCTGCTCGTCGATCGTCAAGTGCCACCAGTAACGGAGGTTGTAGCGTAGTTAATTGACTTCCACCAACATCTATTGTTATTTGGGATGAACGTGGCAACGGAAATAGTAATGCTGGGGGCAGACTTGAGACTGATGTATTGCGGAGTCGTACAATTATCGATGGCGCTTTAAGACCAGCAAGTACTCCTGAGGAAACAGTTTTTAATCGACTACCTCTTAGGCCTAATTCTTCTAAACGTGGGTGTAACGTTGAATGGAGCTGATCCGCACCAATGTTTGTATCTTTTACCTCTACATCTAATTTTTCAAGAGCTAATACATACTGTAGTGCACCTTGTACGTCAAAATAACCTAATCTTGGGTAACCATAAGCCCTTAATTCCACTAGGTTAGGTAATGTTCTAAAGGCACTCTTTTCAATTTTTGTACATTTATCTAAATTTCTCATATCTAAAATACGTAGTGACGAAAGTCCCTCAAAATTGCCTTCTAATACCATTATTATAGGGTTATCAGAAATATTAAATTTTTGAAGGTTTTTAAGTTTTGGCCAAGAAATTGCTAGTGAATTAGATATATCACCAATTTGATTGTGTGAAAGATCTATTGATTCCAATAAAGTAGTTCTAGCAAAAGTCTTTTCAGTTAATTTTGATATGTTATTATATGATACATTTAATTTATATAAAAATGGTGTTTCAAGTTGACCAACTGACTTCATTCCAGTTCCCGCTAAGTTTAAATCTCTCACAGTTTTTGGCTCTGTCAAAACACTATTTATAGTTTTTTCAGATAAAGGATTAAAAGATAAGTCTAGTTTCTTTATATTAACCATAACACTATCTTCAGCGGGAATATCTACTATATCATTGTGAGATAAGTCTACAGATGAAACAAAAAAGTATTGTTTTTGTAAAGCTTTCAAAGGAGCTTGTTCAAAAGAATTATGACTAAGAATTATTGACTCAAGCATATGAATCCTAGACCTATCGAATATAGTATCCGGTAGTTCAGTTAATAGATTGCCAGCTAAATTTAGAACTTCCAGTCTAATTAGTCCTTCAAAGAGTCTATCACCTAAACGATCAATTTTATTATACGATAAATCTATATGTTGGATTTGCGTCGAGTTATGGAATGCCATTTCGCTTACAGTTTCTATTTCATTTCTTGCGAGTAGAATAGTCCTTAATTTTGGGAGACGAGCAAAATCTAATTCATCTACATTTTTTAAATCATTTCCGGATAGATCTACTAACTCTAAATATTGTAAAGTGCTTATTAATTCTGATGGAAAGAAGTTAAACTTGTTATTTGTGAGTATTATCTCTCGTAAGCGAGGATGTATTTTGAATGAAGATGGGAATAAGTAACTTAATTGGTTATCGGATACATCTATTATTTCTAAGCTCGTACCCGTATTAAAGAACTCTCCTTTGAATGCATTTAATTGGTTTCCTTTTAACGATAAGTATTGAATTGACATAACGTTAACAAAAGCAGGTGTTCTTATGGTTACAATGTTATTATATGAAAGATCAAGATGAGTTAAATTTTTAAGATTTTTAAAAGTACCCTCAGATATTTCTTGCAAGTAGTTATGAGATAGATAGATTTGTTGGAGATTATGAGTTTTAGAAAATAAATTAACAGGGAGGGCTTTTAATCCTACATTACTGATATCGATTGATAATAAGGCATCATTTTGATTGAAGACATTTTGTGGTAAAACACTGATATGTAAATTATGGCTCATGTTTAAATGCGTTAAACTTGGAATAGATTGAAAAGCGTTGACAGGAATTTCTGAAATTTGATTTCCTGATATATCCAGAAACCAAAGACTAACAAATTTCAACTGTTCGCCTGTGAAACCCAAAATTCTATTTTGATTTAAAGATAAAAATTCTAGACTGGTTTCCAATCCACTAAAAACATCAGCTGATATAGAGTTTAAAAGATTACCTGACAAATCTAAATGCTGTAAATTTTTGAAGTGCTCAAAAGCAGCTGGTGGCAATTCTCTTATAACATTACGCGAAAGGACCAAAGAACGAATTCTATCGGAAACTGCTCTTAAAATATCACTTGAAAGTGCAGTTACTCGATTAAAACCTAAGTGGATAGATGTAAGACTTGGTAAACGTGATAAAGCTGTTGCAGGAATTAAAAGTATATTGTTATCTCTAAGTAGAAGGGTTTGGAGACTTGTTAAACCATCAAACGCGTCGTCTTCTACCTGAAAATAGGAAAAAAAGTTTAAAAACCAGGATATTTAATAAAATATCGTATTTATTTTATTAAATTTTTAGTATATTTTGCAGCAATGTACGTCAGTTTTGAATTCAAAAAAAAATTCGCGCAAATTGGTCTCAACCAGACAAACCTATACACGAGTATAATATACAATAGCGTTGCACGTAGCGTACGATTGAGTGCAATAAGGCAGGCAATTCTCAGCCATATCGTACAATGGCCAAATTAACTGATAACAGGTGTATATATAGATATATATGTATGTATGTAATATGTATGGTGTTAAATTGTTACTGCCACTTTAATATTTTTGAAATATACGCTTCTTTATACTGCTCTATAATTTTTATCTATTTTTTGTAATTGCACAATTTATAAAATGGACCTTGTATCAATTATCATTAAGGAGTTATTCAGATTGTCTTAAACCTTACAGGTAATTAATTAAAAAAAAATTATTACATTACTATTGTTAATTAAATTGTTATTTCAAAATTCAAGGCATATTTTGCTATATATGAGATACTTTAGATATAAAAGTAAGTTAACTGACAAATATACTTACAGTTCGTAAGGAGTTGACTCCCACATCCAAATAACGTAAATCAGTGAGACCAACAAAAGTACCAGGCGATAGCTTCACTAAATTATTCCTACTCAAATCCAAGACTTGCAATGAGGTTAACGAGTTCAAATGACTCGGATCCATGTTCTGAAAAACAAATATAGAAAACGATATAATAATATATATTAATTAATCTGAAAATTTCTTTCTTATTTTCACGAAAAGAGACAAATAGCTGACTAAAAGTAAGAAGTGTAGCTTCTTCTTGAAAAAAAATATTGCAATGTATAGAAATTACAGAAAAACAAGATGCAAATTCTATATAATTCCATGCGCATATATGCAATCAAGAAACACAAAATTATGAATATAAATACATACATAGTTATATGCTATAATTATATAACTATATATTAACATAACCGAGCCAGTTAACATAACACTGATGACCTATTAAATTGATCTCAATTAACTTGCATATTTGACGCTTAAAATCAGAACTGGTTTAAATAATTGCTATATTACATTAACAATAAACGCTCATTTCGCACAGTTTAAATTTAAATCGAAATAAAATATAATTACCGATATCATGTTGCTAGATAGGTTAACATGCTTAAGGCCCGAGAAAGATTTGAGGGCTACAGTCGGGAAATCTGCTATAAAGTTCTCGGAAAGATCTAATTTCTCCAAGTTTTCGATTCCCTGAAAGACATCGCTGTTAAACTTTGAAAGCCTGTTTCGGCCAAGATCGAGGCTTTGTAATTCACTCAAGCTGATAAAAGCTCCTCCTTCGATAGTTGAAATCATGTTACCGTGCAAATCAATTTCCTCTAACGTCTTCTGTGACACAAACGTCGCTTGCCTTATTGTACCTGAAATCAAGTATGAGTACTAAACTATATTGCTTGCGGCTATAAATAGTGTGTTTAGTATTAAATTGCAATGATTTTAAATACGGTGTAGATGTACTATATATATATTACATTTAGAATAGATTATATATATCTATAAGATTCAATTAGTAACAACTTTCTATCCCGATAATATAAAATGAAACATCGAATGTAATTATGACATTATTATTAATGCAAAAAAGAGTCTTTACTTCACGCCTCCAAGCCTTAACCAGTCGTAATTAAAGACATACATACATATTATATCGATACCGCTATATAACGCAATACAAATGCTATTACTACATCGTACATATAAATAGTAGCATTTGTTTTTTTTTTATTTCGGTACATTTAATAATTCACATGTTCGGTATTAGGTACGAGTATGGTTTTTGAAAGCTATTACCTACAAGACGCGTGGGTTGTAATTAGCACCATAATGAAGCCAGGGCGGGTCACGAGTGGGCAGTACAATTATAATAATATATTAACATGTTGATACAAATTAAGCTTGCCTTCCTCATTTATTATTTTCAGTCACTCTACAGCCTATAGTAAGTTTTTGACGTATATACTCGTATTAAGTCGCGGAAAATAGCTGCTAAGTTAGGAACTTTCTAACTTGTCAAAAGCGGCCATAATGGAACTGGAAAAAACCAACTTACCTATTCTGTTTTCCCTGAGCGAAAGAACTTTTAATGACTGCGGCCCATTGAGTGAAGAAGATGGAACGAAATTCATATTGTTACGGTCGAGGCGTAATACCTGAAAGCATTTTTTTTTTTACTTTAAGCTCTGGCTGAAAATATTTTAAGTTGAAATAATCCCTGTAAAAAGGTTTTATATTTAGCGGTATATTTTATTGAACAGGGAATTTCCTCTCGTTGTCGCACGTAGTACTATTACAGTTTTATTTAAAAAAATATTGGCTAGTTAAAGTTTTTCAATTTATTTAAAAATTATCCATCGATTTTAACTTGTTTAATAACTGTTTTCATATTTAAAATAAAATTATATTTTTAACTTTATTACCTTTAAAACATCACACCCAATTAACAATCCTTCTTCTAGACCTCGAATATTATTTCCACTTAAGTCAAGCTCTTCCAAATTTGGCAAATTATGAAATTCTGCAGTAGAGAATATTGGATTCAGGTTATCACCAAGCAAATTATCTGCTAAAACTAATTTCGTTATGTTCCCTCGTATCCCCGCTAATAGTCTGTCGGGCAAACGGCGAAGGCTGTTATGAGAAAAATCTAACTCCTTTAAAGGAAGCCCATATGATGAAAATATCTGCAAAAAATAATAGTATGCGTTAATTGCCTTAATAATACTGTAAATAAATATTAAATATTTATATCTTTCAATTACGATGATTACTACGAAATTGCAACATATTGTAATATATGTAAATATAAATAACCTATGTTATTTTTTTAAATAGAATATCTGCGTTAAGTAGAACTTATAAAATTGTATCATTATTCTAAACTGAAAAGCGCTACAAAAACATACAACAAATTTCGACCAAACAAGCACAATGCTGAAGACAAAAGGCGAGAAAATTTTATGCAACGAAATCCCAAAATCATAAATGTATAAGATATTATCCTATAAATATGTCATTTATATAACACCTGAACGAGCTATTCCGCGTCGGCGCCCGCAAATTCATTCCCAAAAACAGCTTATACCATTTTGTTTGAACAAAATCCAATATATCTAGTATCGACATATAATCTCACAAATCCTTATATTGTCAACAACCTAAATTTTTCTCTATTTTCACACTAAATCATGCATACACAAAAAGATAACCTTTATTTAGATCAATAAGTTAGATTATCCATATTTTTATGTAAAAACATTGGTGCTTTACGAAATAATATTAATATAATATTTAAGCAACCTGCAATTAAAAATGTATTTTGACTACATCCTTTTTTTTATAATTAAATATATGGTATAAAGGTCGTATTGAGCATCGACCTTATCACTATTAATTTGCCTTCAAAAACTGCTTTCAAGCGAAAAATGTTCATAATATGATATGTGTATACAAAATGAATATATTTTACTAAAAGCATATTTCATATAACAGCTAAGTGCTTGATATAAAGTTTGTGAAAGTGAGAAATATTAGTGTAGGTAGTTTATAAAAATAGTTGAGATACGTGTTCTGCTCTATATTCTAGCAAGATGGACCGTGAGTGTCGGACAGCGATTATCAGAACATGAATGATCGCGTGACATGTGATAGAAATCAGAACACTATTTCAATGGCTATTTCTCCATTACCGATAGCATTCTTGAAAGAGTTTACCACATTATGTATTTGTACCTTTTTATTTACAAACTTTCTCTTTTACGTGGCGAGAAGACACTCAAAATAACTTCTATTTTTTTGTGTTATCTCTTAGATGTTATTTGGGCTTAGGATGAATTTAAAAAATATTAGTTGTATAGCCAGTAAGGATAACTTCATACAGAAAACAACAGCCAGCCGACAAGCTTGTAAACTGTCTTGGATGACACTTCTCCACAAGGTCATTAAAAATAATTTTGTTACTATTAATAAAAATCGTTCTATATATATCTACACTAATATTATATAGAGGTAAAGTTTGTAAGTTTGTGTATGTTTGTGTATGTATTGTAGAGAGTGATCTCTGAAACTAATGATGCGATTCTGACAATTCTTCTTTTGCTAATAGGAAGCTGTATTAGCGTCGAGTGCTAAAGGCCACATTTTATTACGATAAAAATTTACGTTCAGTTTACTGTCAGAAATCATAATTTTAATTGAAATCAGAAAAAATGTTCGAATAGCAAGGATAAAGCGCATGTATACTATAAAATATACTGCTTAATATAATTTATAATTACCTGTGTCGGAAGTGACTGCTGACCAGCCCATTGCTGGCTGAACGAGACAATGGGTGCTCCATACGGTAAGGGTGGAAAATCTCCACCGAAAACCACCCTGTCACAGTTCATAAGAATTCGAAGTTGCAATGCTCTGTCCACTTGAACCCTACACCGGCAGGGATACCTTAAATCGTCGTTTAGTTCTGAACAAGGAACCCATGACTGTTGCCCGAAGACAAAAGGCAGAAAGAGTAGAAATATCAACATTGTGACCTGAAAACGAAAAGAAAATTGCTTTATTTTGTAAATAATATAAACTATTATATTTTAAAGTTAAACATATAAATATACTTTAACTTTTAAATGATAAGAGACCTGGTTATATGCATTCAAATCTAATATATCTAAAATATTTCTTACATATAACCTGATAATTTAAAAAAAAAACTTAAAAAAAATGTCAATTTCTTATAAATTCTTTGATGCTGCATATATTTTTACACTTTTTATAAATTTCTACTTTTTTCTATACATATTTTGACACTTATATTTCATATAATAGAGTCAAGCTCTTAAAGATGATATTGATTGAGGTGCCCTTTAATAACGCTTTTCATCTGTCTGTTTATAACAATTCTGAAATAGCTGATCCAGCAAATACACTTTTAGGAGATTTCAGTATGAAGTATAGTGAGGAGTGCCCTCGCTCCTCTATTGTACCTACTAATCAAAAATTGAATAATAATTTATTCTAGTTTCAAACAGCTTATTTTTTAGCTTTCTTTCGCTGTGCCATAGCCTATAGTTATACTTAAATAAACCTAATTTAAAGGTGTTAAAAGAAAGTAATCTATGTTGTTCACAAAATCCATAAAAATTTTATACCTAAGTAATTTCTTTAAAGGTTGTTATAACGCTCGACTCATGCAATGCTATAAAATATAATGTCTGCGATACTTTACATTTTATTATGCGAAAAATTTTCTTTTTTACGCTTCATTCGCCTTTGATATTAAGACAATTGGGAGAAAACTTAAAAGACGTGTGTTTACCTCAAAGACAATTTATTCAAAATCATGAATACTTCATGATATCATTAAGATTTGTATCTCATTTTTGTATGAGCGTTGACATTTGTAATGGAACTGACGGTGTATAGTAATTTGCTTTGGTAATTAAATTAAAGTACGTGTGAAATTTTCACAAAATAGTTTTACTTAATTTATTTATTATATATACTTATTTAATTATATTGTTATGTATTACATTATTGTTATAAATACAAAAGTTTGTTTGTGTGTGCGTGGATATACTGGTTATTCCTTTACATCGATAAAACTGGAAGGATTTGAATGAAATTTAATACCTACCTACATAAATTATGATAATGGAGTAACAAAGTCTACTTTTACTAATAAAATTGCTAAGGGGATGCACCCCAGCGAAGCAAGGGAAAGTCGCTAGCTATTACATAAAATTCTTATTTTGATTACAAAACTCAGTCTGATCTAAACCTGCGCAGGAGATATCATAGTGTTGTGCACTCTCTAGTTCTTTCACCATAAGACTTAGGCGCAGAAGCATAGAGTTGTATTACTTCCATTTAAATTATGGTTTTTTTGACAGGAATCCCCAATTAGCTTGTAGTATTCGAACCAAAGACTTCAGGGTCTGCAGCCGAACATACTTACTACTGCACCAATGAGTGTTAATAGGAATTATAGCTAGTTTTAGCTTCATCCAGTTTAGATGTCGAAAATCGCTTCTGCGACTATAATACATACGAGTATTTGCCAAATTATCTGATTCGTTACTCATTCTTAACTAGTATATTGTATAGTGTATATGTTTATGGTCCATACAAAAGTTTTCCACGTCCAGTATGTATAGTTAAAAAAGATTTTCTTTAAATTACAAATATACAGTTAAAATTTTACATTCAAATATACGAGTATAGATATTAAATAATTTATTAACCGGATTCACAATTCAAAGACTGGGAAATAGCCAATGAATTATTAACATTAATTATGTGGAAAATTCGTCCAATTGCTTCCGAAACTGAGAACTAATTTGCTTTGAATCTGCTTTCAGTATTTGTTTTAATATAATTATTCATTTAATCATTTTTTTATTTTACTTTAATAAAAATATGTGTATATACTAATTATACTCATATAGATTTCCAATTTATTTACATCTTCCATAGAATAATAGTCATAAGAGGAAATCCTTTTTACTCCAAAATATTTTATTTAAAATAATGTTCATTGTTTTAATAAATATAATTATTAATTGTTTATATTTATTAAAACAACTTATTTCTAACATTTGCTTGTTATTTTATTATATTATGTCACATCATTAATATGAGCACTGGCCTTCTATCACTAGCCTGGAATATAGTTTTTCTGATAAGGTCCGGTCTAATTTTTAAATATTATATAGATTGCTCGTTATTTTTATTTTTTGATAATTATTATCATTATACTTTCAACCTTAATATAAAATATTTATTATATAAATTACATTCTTGAAGGTTTTAAAATATTTTTATGAAGTTAAAGTCTCTCGACCACCATACGTTGTTGGTCCTATGTCAGAAAACTTTTCGAGCGTAAAACAACTCCACAAAATGTCATCGCAATCAAATAAATGATTTAGGTCTGGAATATAACGTATACTTCAAACAAACAAAAAAAAAATAAAAAAACTTTAAATAATATATAGATATCTGACATCAGCCACTAAAATATTATATTTTAATAAATTATATTTAATAATCTATACTAATATTATAAACAGAGTTTGTTTGTTTATTTGTTTGAACGCGCTAATCTCAGGAACTACTAAACCGATTTGAAAAATTATTTTTGTATTAGTTAGCCCGTTTATTGAAGAAGGCTATAGGCTATATATCATCATGCTACTACCTAAGGAAGCGGAGCAGTAATCATAAATGTCAACAAATCGGGCAGACTTCCCTATGTTTAAGTGATTTAAGCTCAGAAACTTCTGAGCCAAGAGTTTTTTTCGTAGTTTTAGCGCGAGAGTAGTCACGGGTTCTGTTAGTTTTAGATAAAATTAAAAAAATAATAATTAACGACACGTTTGGCTCAGTTTGTAGTGACCTTACTTGCTGTGCCAGCGGTCGCGGGTACAAGTCCCGTTAGGGGCATTCATTTGTGTAATGATGTGAATGTTTCTACTACAATCATGTGTGTTTATATTTATAATATGTATGTATTTAAAGTTATATGTGTGTAGTGTATCAAATATCTGGTATCCATAACACAAGCCTCGTAGCTTACCACGGAACTAGATGGTGCTGTGTGGTAATGTCCCAACATATTTATTTATTTGAATAATATAGTCAACATCATAATGCGGAGATTTATTATTATTTAACCCTTTCTCTATGTTGGCTCATTGGGTAACTATGTTAACGACATTCTAATAGAACTTGATTTCCTTCGAGTACATTTGACCTTGCTCATATTATTTTAATTATACTTTGAATTTCAATGAAAATTATTATGACATAATCCTTTCTTAGATTTACGCGAATATTTGATATTTTAAATAAAACTATCTTTTCGGTTATTTCACGGATTTATTTTTTAATTTTTGGTTCCCGACGTTTCGAATGCTTTAACGTAATATTTATAATAATAACAGCTAAAATTAAATAAATAATATTGTTATATTTAACTATAATATTAAAAAATGTTTAGAACTTCAAATCTACAAATATTGTAAGGTACTTTGGTGCCCTTTTTGAATTTTTGAAATCATTTTTGTAAAATAGTTGGAAGACACTGTCTGTAACAAGTATATAACGCCTTTGAGACGTCTATAACCTTAGTCTTTCCCGACCATGATTGATGTAAAGCATTCGAAACGGGAACCAAAAATCAAAATAAATCCGCGAAATAATCCAAAAGGATAGTTTTATTTAAAATATTATGACAATATTTTTAAGTTCATTAACACTATGCGTTAAATTGTATTAACATACTATGAGTCATATTTTTGTACTTATATTTTGATTTGGGGTTTTGGTAGAAGCTTCATATTATACAATGACATACCCATTTACCCTTTAGTATGGATCTAAAAAAAATCGATATCGACATTATATTACTCATTTTTAGGGTTCCGTTCCCGAAGGGTGCCAACGGAACCCTATTACTAAACTAAACTTCCGCTGTCCGTTCGTCCGTCTGTAAGAGAGCTGTATCTCATGAACAAAACCAAGAAAATGAAATAGGTAGAGAATTGAAATTTTCACAGAGTATGTATTTCTATTGCCGCTATAATAAAAAATAATAAAAATGAAAAGAATATTTTTTAACACTCGTAATCGATCATCAAAATGAAATAAAAATACGTAGAGTAAAAGTCATATTAATAAAAAGTACAAGTACGATGGTACTCTTCGTGTGCGAATTCGACTCGCACTTGACCCATATTTTATAAAATATCTTTCTTTTATATACTAAAAATATATGAGGCATTATTTAAATCTTGACATCACAGTTTTGTATTACAAAATCAGAACATATTTTATTTCATTTATTTATTGCTTCCCTACAAGTTCATTTCAGAATATTTTCATTTTATCAAGCGCGCAAGCTTTATGGTTTCAATAAAAATCGTAATAACGGGAATACGTCGCGTATGTAACACCACACTTGCCTGCAAATACCATGTGGTTCATAAAATTTGTTCAGTGCTTGTAATTCCTCTGATTGATGTCACGTACAGACGATTGTTTTATATACATACTATTATTATATTGATGTTGAATCTAAGAATTTGTTTTTTATATCATATATCCTATTGATATTAATTGATATTAATGTAGGTTGTACAATTTAGTTTCGAATTATTTTAAGTCTCAATTTAACATATATAATGAATGTATGTATGAATAGGAATATTAAAATACGTCTGTTGCTGATTCAAATTGGCACTTAAATTTATATTTTCATAAAAGGATAATAATTCATGTGAAGATCAATTATATGAAGTAACTAGCGACTCACCCTCGCTTCGCTCGGGTTCGTCTCTACTTACGTTTTAAGGTTTAGTATCAATTTCTGGGAGATGAGATATTTTTCCGCTGTAAAAAGAACCCTATATATTGCCCCGGATAACCAGCTATCGTCATACCAAATTTCATCAAAATCCCTCCAGTGGTTTTTCTGTGATGCGGTAACAGAAAGACAGACAGACAGACAGACAGACAAAAATTCCAAAAGCTA